GGTCCCTGTCCTCCCCAGGCTCCATCCCCAAATCTCCAGGCATTTCCCACCCTGGATCTGGCAACCCTACCCCCTATCTCCTGCTGGTGGCCAGGGAGGACCTGGCAACCAATGCTCCCTCAAAGCTGTGGAGTCCTGTGACCAAAAATTCTACTTTGTGAGCGACTGGCATTAAAGTTGTGAGTGAGCGATTTGGCTCCTGCATCAACTAGTTCACTCTAGAGCCATCCTTCCTGAGCTAAGACAAAACTGGGTGAGCCGGAGGCTAAAAGACTGTGAGCCCGCTCACACTAACTCAGCTTAGAAGGAACACTGATGGAAGCGGCTGCGCGCAGTGAAAGTGTTTTGGAAAAGGCATCCTCTGAAGAGACAGGAGGGCAGAGACAGGAGCCAGAAAACGGGGACTTTGCCTGGCGAGTCAGGGTTCCCTGAAACGTGTGTGTGTTTTCCAATGTGATTTCCATTAGGCACTGGAGAGAGCGGGAAAAGCACCTTCATCAAACAGATGCGGATAATCCACGGCGTGGGCTTCTCGGAAGAGGACCGGAAAGGCTTCGCCAAGGTCGTGTATCAGAACATCTTCTCGTGCATCCAGGCTATGATCAAGGCTATGGAGACCCTTCAGATCTCTTTTGCTCAGTCAGAGAACGTGGTAAGTCGGAACAGCTTGGATGCTCCCTCTAAGCTGTGGAGTCTTGTAAACAAAAATTCTACTTTGTGAGCTGCTGGCATTAAAGCTGTGAGCGAGTGATTTGGCTACTGCGTCAATGAGGTTGCTCTGGAGCCATCCTTCCTGAGCGAAGACAAAAATGTGTGAGCCGGAGGCTAAAAAGCTGTGAGCTAGCTCACACTAACTCAGCTTTGAGGGAAGACTGGATCATGTGACCGAAAGGGCGCCTAGCCCAACTTCTTGGCCCTCTGGCCAGCCATTCTGTGCACGGGAAATGGGAGTTTTCCTGCATTCCTCTTAACCTGGGAAAGATCATTCTCGGGGGTTGTGGCACCTGTGTGGAGGGCTAGCAGTGCATGTTTTCATCTATGCTGGACTATTACGATGCTCTCTACTTGGAGCTACCCTTGAAGAGTGTTCAGAAGCTGCAGCTGGTGCAGAACGCTGTGGCTAAACTGCAAGTTGGGACCAGCTATTGAGAACATGTGACCCTGATACCACAGCAATTTTTCTGCCCTGGCCCCAGACTGGTGGAACAAGCTCTTACTTGAAATCAGGGCCCTACAGGATTTATTACACAGAATCATAGAATCATAGAGTTGGAAGGGGCCATGCAGACCATCTAGTCCGATCCCCTGCCCAATGCAGGACCAGCCTAAATTCTGCAGAGCCTGTAAAACAGAGCTGTTCCGCAAGGCTTTCAGTTGAGGAAGCAGACATCCAAAATCCATCTCTGGCTTCCCCTGCTGAAATTACTGGCTCTATGATCAGCCTAAACTGAGTATAGCAACACGAAGCTTGGCTGCCGCTTCTACTACTGTTTTAAATTACTGATTTAATTATTTAACTATTGTTGTTGAGACTATGTGACTCTGTAACCTGCCCTGACCCCATTTGCAGGGAGGGCGGTATAAAAATCGAATCAAATCATAAATAAATGACACACTGGCTACCAATCTGTTTATGAGCTCAATCCAAGGTGTTGGTTTTGACCATTAAAGCCCCTACCTGTAGGGTTGCTGCTCCAGGTGGCACAGAGATCTCCTGGAATTACAGCTGATCTCCACACTACAGTTCCCTTGAGAAAAATGGTTGCTTTGGAGGGTGAATTCTATGGCATTCTACCCCATTGTAATTCTGAGTGGTCGCCAGGCCTCACCTGGAGATTGGCAACAGTGGTTCCCCAGGTGGAAATGGCTGCTTTGGAGGGTGGACTCTATGGTATTATACCCTGCTGAGGTCTCTCCCCTCCTCAAACCCCGCCCTCTCCAGGCTCCACCCCCCAAATCTCCAGGTATATCTCAAAGCAGAGTTGGCAACCCTACCTACATGTGTTAGGACCAGGATCTCTAAAGGACGGTCTTCTCCCACTTGTGTCCCTGCCTGGGAATTAAGGTCACCGGGAGCAGCACTCCTGAACGTCCAACCAGTCAAATATGCTTGTTTGGTGGGTACATGAGCCACTGCAGCCCCACTCAATGCGTTCTACAAAACAGTAAAAAAGAATCACTTGCAATACAGCCGTACAGTACCCTCCCCCACAAGCCCCACAGCCTTTTTAAAACAGCAAGTTAGCAGCAGCAAAGGTTCAAAAAGAACGGGAGGCATAAATAATGTAAGAAGCTCCTAGCAAACAGGATGTAAAGCAGTTCACAAAATCAACAGAGTTTGGTCAGGGGGCCGTGGCTCACTGGCAGGGCATCTGCTTGGCATGCAGAAGGTTCCAGGTTCTGTCCCCAGCATCTCCAGTTAAAGTGATCAGGTAGCAGGCAATGTGAAGAGACCCCTACCTGACATTCTGGAGAGCTGCTGCCAGTCTGCATAGACAATACCGACCTTGATGGACCAAGGGTCTGATTCAGTACAAGGCAGGGTCACATGTGCAAAGCAGTGAGGTCTTTTCTTAGTGCCAAACACTGACAAGGCTCAGTGTCAGGGGATTGGATATGGGTGGGAGAGGCATTCCAAAGTTGAGGTGCCACAACTAAAAAGGCCCTCTGTATTCTGGAGATCGGCTGTAATTCTGGGAGATCTCCAGGTGCCACCTGGAGACTGACAACTCTATATGTCAGTGAGGGACCCAAACTATAGGGAACTTTTGACTCTAGGCTTCCACCTGTGACACTGCCAGATGTTTGACACTCTCCAGTTAGCCTCAATCACCTGATGCTTATTCCTGTCGTCATAAGGACTAGGAAGCTAACAACTTCTGAAAGAACTGGCAGTCAGGCAGACAGAACGTTTCCTGAGCCCTTGGAGGGATGTGTTCAGACTGGGGTGTGTGCAGACCTGCCTTCTATGTACAGAGTCTTTGAGATCTGTTTCTCTGCCCCCACACCCTTGCTTCTAGCGAAATGCTCAGCTGCTCATGGGAGTGGATGCTTACAAAGTGACCATGTTGGAGACGCATCATGTGAGGATGCTAGAAAGCCTGTGGAAGGACCCCGGGATCCAAGCCTGCTACCAGAGGCGTAGAGAATATCACTTGCTGGATTCTACTTTTTAGTAAGTGTTCTGTTCTCTCTTCTCTGGGGACGTGCAGGCCAGCCCCGGATATGTCAGGCTAGTGTAGTATAGTAGCTAAGGAACTGAGGAAGTTGCAGAGTCAAATCTCACCACAGTCCAAAATGCCAAAAGTTGCTATAGAAGCAAGTCATTTCCCTCCAAGGTTGAATTCTCCATCTCCAGAGTATGGTTAATAATGAATGCTTACAGAGCTGTTGTAGAGATTAACATTAAGAACAGAAGAAGAGCCCTGCTGGATCAGACCAGTGGTCCCTCTAGTCCAGCATCCTGTCTCACACAGTGGCCAACCAGTTCCTCTGGATGGCCAACAACAGGGCGTGGAGACTAAGGCCTTCCCCTGAGGGTGCCTCCTGGCTCTGAGATTCAGAGGACTAGAGTCTCTGAATGTGGAGGTTCCCCTTAGCCACCATGGCTAGTAGCCACTGAGAGACTTATCCTCCATGAACCTGTCTTTTCCCCTTTAAAGCCGTCTATGCCTGTGGCCAATCCCAACATCCTCTGGCCGTGAATTCCACATTTTAATCACTCTCTGTGTAAAGAAGTATTTCCTTTTGTCTGTCCTGAATCTACTGCCCATCAGCTTCATTGGATGCCCCCGAGTTCCAGTATTTCAGGAGAGGGAGGAAAATTTTCTCCTTGTCAGCTCTCTCCACCCTGTGCATGATTTTATAGAATTCCATCATGTCCCATCTCCCCCCAGTCATCTCTTCTAATCAAAAGTCCCAGACTCTTCCGCCTTTCCTCATAGGGAAGGTGCGCCCAACCGTCTTTCCTCATTGCTGCCTTAGCTGAACAGCTTATGGGTGGTTATGCATCTTTTCCAGAACAGTGTGGCAAATTCTAGGTCAGGTGTCCCCAACCTTTTTCAGGCCCGAAGGCACCTTTGGAAATCTGACACAGGGTTGTGGACAAAACCATAAAGACAGTTGCTGTAGGTGGCACAACCAGCCATAAAACATCTGAGAGTGACATTTATTTTATATTTTACTTTATTGGATTTATATCCTGCCCTCCCCGCATAGCAGGCTCAGGGTGGGTTCCATCAGACATAATAAACAATATACAGCATACAAAAAAAAATTAGAACAGTTGAAACGTCAATAAAATACAACATGATGCATCACTTTAAGTAACTCTTCAACATTTCAGGCCCAAGCTGTTTAACGTGATGCCTTTTGAAATGAACATATTTAAAAATATATTTTGGTGCATACGTGCAGGAACATGGTAAAGATACTTGTGCTGTGGTGGCTGCTGTTTGATTCTTGGCTCTATGTGTTTTGCAGTTTCCTGTCCAACCTGGACCGGATCGGGGCAGCAGGATACATTCCCGGCGCCCAAGACATTTTGAGAACCCGCGTGCCGACCACTGGCATTAATGAGTACTGCTTTTTGGTACAAAAGGTCACCTTAAGGTGAGCACTATTTATGAAAAGGCCAGCATCAAGTCAGTCCAGATCCATCCCAAGGTTGAACACAACATGTTCTGCTCGCCTGCCTGCCTTCCTTTTAAAGAGAACCCCCTGCATCCAGAAAACTAGCTCTTTTCCCTGGTGCGCTAATGTTCTGCATGCATGGCGTTTTCTTAAAAATATCAGAGAGTATTCAAATTTGCCTCCTTTTCCTGCAACTGCTGTCTATGGCAAAATTACAGAAAGTCTGTCTTGTATAATTTTCTCAAATGTGAATTCTCAGGTTTATCCACACAGAAGGTTTTAACTTCACTCTCTGGTGAATACCAAGGAGCTGTGGTATATCAGTATGGGCTGGGAAATAGAAGAAATTAAAGTGTGTGTGTGTGTGTGTGTGTGTGTGTGTGTTAAAGGATTTCTGGCTGTCAAAAGCAAAAATTTGACATGTGGCCCTAAAATACCTTTGTTGCAAGTTCGAATAAGTAAGTGAAGGAGAAATAAATTGTTCTTAGAACTGGTGGGGTATTGCGGCTAGAACGACTGTGAACTGGGAAGTCCCAGCTCAGACACATACTTGCTGTGTGGTGCTAAACTGAGGGCAGGGTGGTTAATCTACAGAACGGAGCGAATGACAGTCTGTTTGCCAAGGCTCCTGTTAGGTTAGGGTTGCCATCTCCAGGTAGATAAATTCCTGGAGATTTGGGGGCGTGGAACCTGGGGAGAGCAAGGTTTTGGCAGGGCAGGGACCTCGGCGTGGATGTGATGCCACAGAGTCCACCCTCCAAAAACGCCACGTCCTCTGCAGGAACTGATCTCTGTAGTCTGGAGACTGATAGTCATTCCAGGAGTCTCCGGGCCCCACCTGGAGGCCTATGTGTGTGAATTCACATCGTGTGAATGTTCTGTGTTGCTTCCTAGCAAAATGCCCATTATTAAAATCTAGCGTTGCTTGGAGAGCAGTTGGAATGCCTGGCTATTGTAAGGACCCCATGCTCTGTGTGTGTGTATGTGTGTGTGTCTGTCTGTGTGTGCGTATGTGTAGAAACAGCTAAAATTAGGGTTGCCAAACTCTAGGTGGGGTATTGTGTGTGTGCGTGTGTGTGTGTCGAAACAGCTGAAATTAGGGTTGCCAAACTCTAGGTGGGGGCTGGAGAACTCCCGGAATCACATCTCCAGACTACATAAATCACTTATTATTCATTTATTCAGGTGGGTAGCCGTGCCGCTCTGTAGCAACAGAACAAAGTTGGAGTCTCAGGCATACTATAAACGAACCAACCTTGGCTTGGCATGATGTCTGAATTGGACAAGCCCATAGGTACAGTCAGCCGTAATGCCACCTCTAGAGGCAGATACATCTTAGGAACAGGAGTTTGCCTGCTCTGGGTTGGGAGATAATTGGGGAGGGCAGGGTTTGGGCAGAGGAGGTACCTCAGCAAGGTACAATGCCATCAAGTCCAGCCTCCAAAGCAGCCATTTTCTCCAGGGGAGCTGGACTCTGGATTCTGCAGATCAGTGATAATACTGGGCAGGGGTCGTTTTGTAGAAAAAGAGCTAGGGGAACTCATTAGCATAACTCATTAGCATATGCCACACACCCTGACATCATAAGGCCTGGCAGTGGACCTGCAAGGCCGGCGGGAGTGCGAGGAAGCCCCGCCAAGGCCCTCCCTGGCCCCAGGCAGGCAGGGGTGGGGAGAGGTGGGGAGGAAGCAACTTACCCTCCCTCTTCTCCTGCCTCCTCCTGGCTGAATGAGGGCCGGAAGCAGGGGGCGGGGCTTCGTCATGTGCCCCGCCCCCCAGTACCTCACCCGGGGGAACTGTGATCCCCCTCGTTCCCCTGCCCCACCCGACAGAACTTGTGGGATATGCTATCCTAGATTGGTGATTATGTCTGCCGCAAGGGTTCTGACAAGACCCTAGAAAATATGCTGCTGCCTTAAGAGTTTTCGTGCTCACAAAGAGAAATTGTTGTGCCTTACGTTCTTGAAAAAGATTGTATTCAAAACGAGTAAATTACTAGAGTCCTGTG